TACAGATTAATTAGAAAGTTATATTGTATCAGTCTGTCTGTCCAGGCTAGTTAATTAATATACCAGAATCAGAGGCCATTTAAAGTCTGTAGATTATAACCTTGTTAAAAATCACATACTGCGTAATGAACCTGCATAAAATAAGTTGAACAACAGGTTTTTATACGTATCTATTTTGTTTATATATCAACACGTGAGTGACAGGGTACAAAATGCTTAGGGGGAAAAAAGAAGCTTTACTAGACCAATCCATCATTATTTAGTGTCATTTCTACCGACACTGTTTCAAAAAAATCACAACCCTAAAGTCATGCCAAAAAAAGCTAAAAATGTCAAAAAAACAAACCACTGGACTTTGTTACCCTAGTTTGAAGACGTTTAATACTTGGAAAACGAAGTCCAGTAGTTTGTTTATTAACCTTTTTAGAATGACTATGACCTGGATGACTGAGAATCTTCACCAGCACACACCACCCTAAAGGCGTGCACTTATTTCCTCGATACACTGTCTCTAGAGAAGCAGAAGAAAAATAATCCTTAGTCACAAATTTTCCTATTGCATTTTCTAGGCAAATCCCACATTGCAAAAAAGCCCATTTATTCATGGGATAATGTTCTAAGGTGAGAATACCTTTACAATCCAGTGAATATAGCTGTGTTATAATGCTTAGACATTATGAATCACGTTTCCTTATTTAGCCTTTAATTATTGTCTAAGAATAAACAATCAAGTTAAACGATAAATATAGAATAATGAACTTACTTGTTGTTTTCCGTCGATTTAAAAATTCTGTATCAAAGATAAATACATATGTTACAGTTTCAAACTTGGTTATATGTGTATTGAAAACATTTAGAGACAATTTAGTAACTTACCTCTCAACCTTTGGAAATATCCTACAATAGAAATAAAGACATCAGTGAAAGATCATTCATTTCTGTATCATAGTTCTGGTTTAACTTTCTCAGGAGTCCAAGAAAACTTCCTGGGTAAGATGTCATCACAATTTACACAAAATAAAACTGGATAATTATTTGCGGAAGGAAAATAAATTTATAAATAGGCTGTTTATATACCAGACCTTCTTTGAAACTCATCTACCCAACGACAGGTTAGCTAACAAATGCAATAAAACATGAAAGTAACTGTGGTGTTTTCTTGCAGTCTCACCTTTTTTGTACAACACAGCAGCAACAATCACAGCTACAACCAGGAGAATAATTGGTACAGCTACTGCTACAGCATGATTATCTGAAATAAAAGATTTAATCATTAAAATGATAAAATATTCAGAGTCTATCGGTTTTA